CTACAGGCAGCCAGCTGAATCAAAGCATTTCCTGTCAAACATTCAAAACATATTGAAAGAAGAAACTTGAAAAGTTCTGAACCGTTTATGCCCAAATTTTTAGAGAACATGCGTTGAGGTTCCAGCTCGGTTATTGACTACTTTTGATGTTGATAGCTTATCTGCGGTTGCGAATATATCTATTTTTTAGCGTTTCCCCGTGCCCCTACTACTGCGCCCTCTACAAGCAAATCAAAGCATTTCCTGTCAAACATTCAAAACATGTTGAAAGAAGAAATTGGAGATACAAATTTTATTTTTTTGTTCAGGTTCAGTAAGAAACGAAGTCATGCCACCAAAGAAGTCGAGATTGGGTCGTCGTATTCGCAATACAGAAGCAAAAAGACGTAAGATTACGAATATGACTGACGAAGAATGGGCCTCCATCCGAGAGACGCGGCTGCGCGATGAACTTTTACTCATACAGGTTAATGGTTCGGAGGACTGATTGCAATCATATATTGAAATGTCGTCAGTTTTTTCATCAGTACATTGTCGATATGTATGCAAAAATTGAAACAACGTTTGCTGTTCCTCCGATTGAATCAGAAGAAACTTCGGTCCGAGGAATATATCCATTTGCGGGATGCTGTGATGAATGACCGTAATACAACCAACGTTGGAAAGCTCACGATTTTGCCATCCTCATACATAGGTAGTCCGAGCCACATGCATGAATATGCTCAAGATGCCCAGGCATATGTTCGTTGCTACGGCCGTCCAGACTTATTTATCACCTTCACATGCAATCCAGCTTGGGACGAGATAGTTCAGCTGTTATTTCCTGGACAATCATATAGGGATAGGCATGACATCACAGCCCGTGTTTTTAGACAAAAGCTCAAGTCACTGATGGATTTCATTGTGAAACATGGAGTTTTGGGATCTGAGCGGTGCTGGATGTATTCAGTAGAATGGCAGAAGAGAGGATTGCCGCATGCGCACATACTGATTTGGCTGTATGATAAAATTACTCCAGACGAAATTGACAATGTGATATGCGCTGAGATTCCACGGGCAGAGGTTGATACAGATTTGCATGCAGTTGTCATCAAGAACATGATCCATGGCCCATGTGGTACCCTCAACCGAAGTTCACCATGCATGGTAGACGGGAAGTGTTCCAAGCGATATCCTCGAGCATTTACAGCCAACACCGTAACAGAGGACGATGGATATCCTCTGTATTAGAGACGGTCAACTGAAGATGGAGGAACTTCGGCAACTTTAAACATGAGAATTGGTGATTCCATACTCACCACTATTGTCAAAATCATACAAAGCGCCCATCAACGTAGAATATTGCAATTCCGTGAAATCGATTAAATATATCTGCAAGTACGTGAATAAAGGCAGCGATATGGCAGTTTTTGGTGTTAAGGCAGAAAATGGGGACAGCAATGCAGTACGAGTTGTCGATGAAATATCTCAATACCAGGCTGGAAGATACATAAGCAGCAACGAGGTTGCATGGAGAATTTGTTCGTTCCCCATTCATGAACGCTATCCAGCTTTAGTTCACTTGGCAGTCCATTTGGAGAATGGTCAACGTATCTATTTCACAGAAAGAAATGTGCAAGAAAGAGTCCTGAATCCGCCAGCGACAACTCTGACTGCCTTCTTCACCTTATGCCAGGAAGATGATTTTGCCGGAACATTGATGTATTCAGAAGTGCCCTCTTAACCACAATATGCCACAGAGAAACGTGGCAGGGTACAGCTAGTACAATATAAATTATATACATTTCTGTTAAATATCAAGGAAGTAATTCCCACTTTGCAGTCACCTATATTTATTTTATTTATAGTTGTACAGTTACAGTTCTACATTCACAGTTTTGCATTTTCCCCTATATAGTAGTTCGATTTTCATAAAATTTAACCCGAATTTCAAGAACAATACAAAATGCAGTACAAATTTGAGATATAAGTTTGATGAAAATCTGTTGAAAACTGAAGAGGTTATCATTTTTTTCTTCTAAATGTTCCGATCGTTCCTATGGCAACTATATGCTATAGTCGTCCGATCCGGCCCATTCCCACATATATGTATACCAGTGAGAGTAGAAGACGGACATGGTTAGATCGACCCGGCTGTTGATCCTGATCAAGATCCTTTATTGCGTTGCAAGCTTCTGACTGAAATTATAATACCCTACAAGGGTATTTAATTATTGAATTAGGATATATGAATTCTTTTTTAACTTTATTTACATTATTACAAAATTATTATCAAGCACTTTAGAACTTTAATTATTTTTGGAGGGCAAATGTTGCGGTCATACTTACTTGGTTGAAACTTAAGACACGTTTGTCCCAAAACGATTGGCATGCGCCTCCCTTGGACAGCTCCCAGACGCCTTGATATTTAATCAATCTGTTCACACAAGAAAAAAACCGGGGTATTGTTGCCAAATTTAAGCCCAAGTAGGCATGGTCAAGACCGGATTTGCTTGTTTTCAGTTCCAATTCCGAATTTTCTTGATTCAATACCGCTAATCTTAAAAATTTTAACACCAAAAATTCTTGATTTAATCCCGACCGTTCTTAGCTTTTGAATCCCAAATATTCTGGATTCAAATAGGACTGTTCTTTAATGTTTTAGTACCGAAATTATTTTTTAAGCCCCAAAATTCTTTAACAATTTTCTTGTAGATTTTCTACAACTTTAACCCCAAATTCGTTTAATTTAGATTTGTTGTGCCGACATTTTCTTAAATTTATATATTTACTTTGTTTTTTTTTTTTTTGATTAACATTAGTTTTAATTATGCTTTGTCTAATATCTATATTAATATTTAACATATTTATGAGTTTTTTGTTGTTTCTTGCATGTGTTATTGCGAACATTAATAAGTACTTATCTAAGAGTTGGCCGGCAACCGCAACCTAATGCCAGGGATGTTAGAATGAGTTGGGAATCATATAAACACACGTGTGATATTTAAATTCATTTTATTCCCGATGTGGGCCTAATTTGACGATTTAACCCGAATCGTACTGGAAAATTTTAAGGCGCCACATCGATAAAATCAAGCCAAATATTCTAGATTTTTTCAAATATTTTGTTTTTGGGTGTAATACCTGTACACGGAACTCGGATGATTGAATACGGATGGATCGCTGTCCTGTTCACGTCATCCTCAAAACCTATGTACTCCTTTGCAGTAACCATCGCGTAAGTCCTGGATAAGGTTGGCGACCGAAATCCAATGGCATCCAAAATGATCCAGGATATCGTCGACCTGACAAATGTCTGGCATTTTATAATCCGTGCCAAAAGCATCGAAATCTCTCAGATCGGCAAGGCGAGCTGTGGAGCTGTTCCATTTTGTCCTTTCTGGCCTATATCTTTCTGGTTTACATTTTCCTTCAAGATTTCTCTCTTCGCTACAAATTAATATACAATTGTTTTTACTTATTTAATAATATTAACTGTATCAGCTCTTCTGAACTTCGAAATTCATATTTTCCGCACATTTTTGTTCATGGCGAGATCTATTTTTCAAAGTATGTATAGGAGCTTCAAGTGACAGCGAAAGGAAAATAATCGAGAACAGCCTGCTTTATTAAAATGTTTGTTCTCTTTGCAAGCCACTTGGTTAAGAATCTCCTTACGCCATCCAACTTTGTAGTAATTAATCTTAGTGATGGGGACATTTCCGACCATATAAAGTACATATATTCTTAATCAGGATCAACAGCCGAGTCGATCTAGCCATGTCCGCCTGTCCGTGCGTCAGACTGTCCGTCTGTCTGCATGTTCTACGCAGCCTAGTTCCTCAGTTTTGAAGCTATCTGAATGAAACTTTGCAGTTAGTCTTCTATATACTCTCACTCGTATATATGTCGGAACAGGCCCGATCGGACGACTATGTCATAAAGCTGCCATAACAACTTTTTAAATTTTTTAACAGATTTTTATATAATATGATATATAGCCATTTTGTATTATTCTAGAATTTCGGTTTTAATTTTATGAAAATCTGACTACTGTATCATAAAGCTGTCATACAAACGATCGTTTGATATAGAGGAAAACGCAAAACTTTAATGTAAAACTTTAACTGTAAAACTGTAAATAAGTTTTTTTTTAACATCAATTTATATAATTTATATTGTATTGATTCCTAGTGATCAAACTGCAACCTGCAAGGGTATAAAAACTTCGGCGTGCCAAAGTTAGCTTCCTTTCTTGTTTTAATTTAATTTCTCTGTACAGGCTTTTAAAACGACGCTGACGAACACCCGTTTTAAACTATTTTCCACTTTCTCTCACTGCTTTAAAACCTTTCCCTACCGCGCTTTAAGGAGAAAATTTTGTGTATTATGAAATTGTGAATTTTTCAAGAATTATTATTATATTTTCAATCTTTTTTTGAGTTTGAAATTTAACCTAAAAATCTTATCTATAGAATTTTCATTTGATATTAAGTTTTTCCGTACTTGTATTAAGATTTCTTTAAGAATGCAACAAGTCTTAAGTCTTTTTTCTACATATAACGAACGTTATATACTATTGAGTATATAGAAGACTAATTGCAAAGTTTCTTTCGGAAAGCTTTTGAAGACAGGGAGGCTAGTTTTGCGTAGAAGTTGAACGATGGGCAGACAGACAAACGGACAGGCAGACGAACGGACAGACATACGGACTGACGGACATGGCAGGATCGGCTCGGCTGTTGATGCTGCTCAAGAATATATATACTTTACATAGTCGGAGGTGCCTCCTTCACTGCGTTGCGAACTTCTGACTGAAAGTATAACACCCTGCAAGGGTCTAAATAACAACTGAAGCACGATTTTGCGAAACAATAGGCAGACAATTAGGCGGACGGGGCAGACCGAATAATTTCTATAATTTGGATAATACTAGTATAACTATTAATTGGTTTGAATATTTTTCCGATTCTATTGTTCCGATATATCAATCATAACATAGATTCACATTTCAGTTGTATTTTGAATTCATTTCTTTTCCAAAACATTTGGCGTTCATATGTTTTTGTTGAGAGCAAACAGGTACGTGTTTAAGCGCATCTGCGCTCTTATAGATATTTTTAAGTAGTAGTAGATTCGTATCTATAAGCCTTCTTTCTAATTTTTCACACCGCACGATGTGTACAATGAGATGAAAAGGACTCTAGGTGATAATCGAAACGCATTTGAAAATTTGAGAAGTCATACCAAAAGAAGGTAGAGCCAATGGCAATTGCTGGTTTTGGTTTCTTTTCTGTTCCTGTTTCAATAAATCTTAGCGGGAAAAGGAAAGGAGCTGAAACATTAAAGTCTGAGTGTTCCCTGAAAACCCTCTTGTACTTTGTGGCCTACTTTCCTGGGGGAGCATACATCTTTCTTGAATTTTATATATCCTTGCGGTGTATTTCAGTAAAGGCGTATATATTTATCTATATATACATATATTTATGTATATGACCACTGGGCCACAGATAGCATCGTTTCATGTTGTAATTAACTTCAAGTTAAAACCCCTACCAGAAACTAAATAAGTTTGCTGCTGCATACAAAATTTAATAATCCCAATTTTATAAATCCCAATATAATTTTAATGAAAATAAAACACTAAAAACAATAAGTCATTTTTTTAAATAGCAGCATTCCTGTGCAGCGTTTAGGGCCTGTTTTGAAATTCCAACCTGCTAATAAGATCCATATGTTTTAAAGTTCAGAATTTTACCATTACCTCTTTATTTTCAAGACTTTAGAAGGCGGCAGTGGGCCTGGACTTGAAACAAGCTTGATATTCGTTTATTCGAGATGTCTTCTTTCAAAGGAATGGAATGGAATAAAAGGATATGGTAGCTCAGCCCGGAAGTTGATGCTACAAAAATATATTCACTTCTGAGTATGTTTTAAGGAGGTCTAAGGAGGTTGTACAAATTCTTTACATTTTCATTTTTGGGCTCAAAGCAAATTTTCTTCTTAATAAAAACTTTAATCTTGTCGACTCGAACACAAAATAATACTCTCTTCACCTTTTTGAGATTTTCCTAGATGCCTGGATTGAGAAAGTAGCCAAATAAACAAATAAACCACTTTGGTAGATTATTGTCAGCAATGCGATTAGGATTTAGGGTCAAAAATAATCCTCTATTGTCCGTTCCAACACAGGACTCTCATTCTAAGTACCAGATCGGGAAACCGTCAATATTTATCGTTTGTTTTTGACACCTATATTTCTTGAAAGTGTGAAACGATTTACTATTCTTTACCATCCTGAAAGATTCATTAGAAACAGTTAGACTCGCTTTTTATACTTTGTAGGGTATTTTAATTTTAGTCAGGGGTTTGTAACGCAGTGAAGGAGACATTGCCGACTATACAACATACATATATTTGTTCTTGATCGACATAAACAGCCGAGTCGATTTAGAAATGGCCGTTTGTCCATCTGTCCGTCTGTCCGTTTCTACCCAATCAAGTCTCTCAGTTTTGAAGCTATGTTTTTATACCCTTGCAGGGTATTATAATTTCAGTCAGAAGTTTGCAACGCAGGGAAGGAGGCACCCCCGAACATATAAAGTATATATATTCTTAATCAGGATCAATAGCCGAGTCGATCTAGCCATGTCCGTCTGTCCTTCTGTCCGTCTGTCCGTTTCTACGCAAACTAGTCTCTCAGTTTTGAAGCTATCTGAATGAAACTTTGTAGTTAGCCTTCTATATACTCTCACTCGTATATATGTCGGAACGGGCCGGATCGGGCGACTATATCATATAGCTGCCATAGAAATGATCGGAAAATTTTTACAAAAAAAATTATAACATTTTCAGTTTTCAACAGAATTTAATGAAATTTGAGATATAGTCATTTCATATTATTCTACAATTTTGTGTAAAATTGTATTACTATCGGACTACTATATCATATAGGAACGAGTTACGAGAACGAGTTTTCAACAGATTTTCATCAAATTTGAGGTATATCAATTTTATATCAGTCTTAAAATTTTGTCAAATTTTATGAAAATCGGACGACTATATCATATAGGTGCCATACAAACGATCGTTAGATGTGGAGCAAAAATGCAAATCTGTGACTGTAAACTGCAAATATAATATGTAAAGGTGAATGAAATGAAAGCAGGTATTACTTCATTGTTTTTTAACACAAATATATATCCTTTATATTATATGGATTCCTAGTTATAGAAGTTCTATCTGCAAGGGTATATATGCTTCGGTGAGCCGAAGTTAGCTTCCTTTCTTGTTTAACATAAATTTATTATTATTATATAGTTTATATATTTATATATCAATATATTATTAAATATATAGTTTATTACATTAATAATTATCGAATGTACTTATGCAAGGATATACAAACTTCGGCGTGCCGAAGTCAGTTTCTTTTCTGGTTATTATCAGTGTAAAAAATTACAACACATATTGTGTTTAAAAGTTGTTAACAGATTTTAAAACATTTATTGATATCATATAAATTTGGTTTTAACATTTACCTCTACACATTATATTTACAGTTTTAAAATTACACTTTTACATTAAGTTTTGTATATTCTAATCGTTTTTGTAACAGCTATATGGTATAATCCTCCGATTTGCATAAAATAATACCAAAGTTCTGTAGTCATAATTAAATAAAAGTCTATGAAACAAAACTAAAACTGTTAAAAACAGCAAAATAAATTTACCAAATAAACAATATGATTTTTTGATCATCATCAACAGCCGAGTGGATTTAGACATGTGTGTCTGTCCCTTTATTTGTTTTATTTTTTTTTATGAGAATCGGATTAATATATTATATAGTTGTCATAGGAACGGTCGGGAAATTAATGAAATTTAAAATTATAGCTTTTCCCGTTTTCAGCATATTTTCATTAAATTGGAGACAACGTTTTTTAGAATATTCCAGCTATTGGTTTTAATATTAGGATTATTATTAGGATTATATTAGCTGCCATAGAACCTAACACAAATATATATAATTTATATTGTATTAATTATTATTGATCGAATTGCAATCTGCAAGGGTATACAAACTTCGGCGTGACGAAGTAAGCTTTCTTTCTTGTTTTTAAGGTCATTAATTTTTTTAAATCTCAGAACAGGTTCAATAAAATTCAATACAAAAATAATATAAATAAATAATATGATATATTTGTATATATATCCTGTCGGTGTTTATAAACAATTGTACGACTTTAAAGGTTAATCTTTCTTCGAATCTTAATTAATGTTATAATTTAGGAACGGTTTGATAAAAGCATGGTAATTAAGACATTATCAAACCCTGTCTTCTAAACGCAATCTGAATGATCTTTTATTGATTAGTTAAAAACACATACAGATTATATGTGCACCTTTATTTCTATAGAAACTCCGTATAATAATGAAGTTTGTACGGACGTTTGTGTATGCACCGCACTCTCGGCTACCAGTTAATGGTATTTTTCCTTGGTGGGAAGAAAAATGCGAGTGCTAGAAGATGATGGGTAATGTGTAATGGTTTGAACGTCTGGAAAACCTGTTCCTTATGGACAGCCAAGGGTGGAAGAGGAATGGCTATATAGCTCGCGTCGAAGCAGGCAAGAGCAATGGCCAATTACAGTTATGCCACCCTCTGCTTTTCGAACTGTGGAATTCAGTGTGACCAATGGGATACGCTGAATTCCAGAGGAAAGGGCGTGGCCTGTAAAGAAACCGGGTTTACACCCAGTTTATACCCCACAAGTCCTCATCAATCTGCCATTTTCGGACAGAAAAACACAGAAATAGTTCGAGCACCGCAACGCGTAGACGCATCACGTTCTTTATATGTTATTTCGGTAGATAAAAACAATCAGCCTTGGATTATAAATATAAATATATATATATATATAAATAACAAAAAATCTATAAATATGAAGAACATAATGTTATAATTGTGAGAATTAAGAAAAATAAATTATGCTAATATTATATGAAAACTTCAAAGTGCAATACGTATTATCAGTGACAGTGATTAATCAATTATATCGCCTATTGATATGTTCTATATCCGGTATAGCGTATATAAAAACTTAGTAAGTTTAAGGTAAAAACTGCCTCGCACAAATAGATATGTATCTTAAGAAGTGTATTGGTTGTTAATTAAAAATCTTCCTTCTTATACCCTTACAGGGGGTTAAAGTTTCATTCAGAAGTTTGCAACGCAGTGAGGGAGTCATATCCGACCATATAAAGTATAAATATTCTTGATCAGCATCATCAGCCGAGTTGATCTAGCCATGTCCATCTGTCCGTTTGTCCGTCTGTCTGTCCGTGCATCCGTCCGTTTCTACGCAAATTAGTCTCTCAGTTTTGAAGCTATCTAAATTATACTTTGCTGTTAGTCTTCCATATACATACCTGTGTATAAATATGTCGGAATCGGCCGGATCATACTTTATCATATAGCTGCCATAGAAACAATCGGAAAAATTTTAGAAAAAAATGTTAACTTTTCAAGTTTTCAATAAATTTTCATTAAATTTGAGATCTAGATTTTAAATAAATTTTATTTCCGATTTTCATAAAATTAAAAAAGAACTTCTAAAATAATACAAAATGGCTAAATCTCAAAGTAAATATGCAAAACTGTTGAGAGTTGGAAAAGTTCGATTTTTTTGTTCTATATATGGTATATGTTATAGTCGTCCGATCCGTCCCGTTCTGACTTATATATAGGAGTGAGAGTATATAGAATACCAATTGCAAAGTTTCATTCAGATAGCATTAAAACTAAGATAGTTTGCGTAGAAACGGACTGTCGGACTGACAACCGGATAGACGGACATGGCTAAATCTACTGGGCTGTTGATGTTGATCAAGAATATATATACTTTATATGGCCAGAGATGATTTTATCACTGCTTCTACAAATTGGTTTTTAATGTTATAGAAATCGGCCCCCTATATCTTATAGCTTCTAAAGTTTCAACTTCCAAAAAATCGACACAGTTTAGGATTTCCTAGACCTGTTCAAGATTTCACATCCGGAAAATCCCCTCGGACACGGA